GTTAAGTTCTGGAGAAAAGACCAAACTAAAATTAAGAAGAACTAAGTCATTAGAATATACTCTTTAGCGGATTATTAACTACCTGTGAATGTTTTAATAAAACAGACTTCTAGAATTTTTTAAAATTTCAGACTAAGGAAAACCCTCTCCAACTAGCCATTTGTTGAACACTGTCATTTATTTCCATTCTATTCACTGCTGTGGAGCCCAGTTACCCCTTTATTTTCTTATTCACATGTAGTCTGACTTATCACAAGTAAAATAAAAATCACAAGGATGCCATTATCCTTCAACATTTCCCCAAAGTACAAATGCTAATTTGCATTAAGTCCTTGCAGAAATGTACAATGCAGTTCTTCAGTAAAAAGTACTGTAATTAATAAAATGATTTCCAGTTCAATATATACACATAGAACTTTACATAAGTTAAAAACTGATTAAGGTGATTCACACATGCTAGGTATTCAATATTCAATACAGTTAGAATAACAGTTATTTGAGAGGAATATAATCTTTGAATATAAGACAGATTTTGATTAAATAACTATAAATTCATTTATCTATTTTGCTATTCACTCATTGATCTAGAAATTTTAGGCACCATGAGATAACTGATGGAAAAAATTAGTTCTGTAAATAATGAACACCGCTGCTCTCTAGTATAGTTTTCTGAGAATGAAAACCTTTCCCAAAAGTCAGTATGTGAAACCTGTTTATTTAGAAAAAGCTAAAACGTTAATGTATTTTCACTCTAGTAGAAGAAAGCTTTGAAACAAGTTTCTATAAGCACTCTAGGAAAATTAATTAATTTTAAAATGGAAAGGGAGGATCTTAATTTCCAAGAATATCAGCCTGAGAATAAACTTTATAGAAAGAGAATATCTGAGTATCTCTTTTAAAAGAGAAAAAGTTATTAAAATGTTTTGTATTCCACTGAGAACAGTATAAAAATGACTTAAAAAGATACATTTAAGGAAACGATAAAAACTGAAAGCAAATGAATTAACAGGCAAACATATTACATGCGGTTAACATTATATTTGTATTATCTCTTAGAATAGAATCATAACTTCTTTATGTATAAAACAATGTGGCTCTCAAGATGCTCATGAAAAAGTCTAATTAAATTTCACTCTAGAGTTAGCAATCTGGTAGCGTATTAGGCCTAAATAAACCTGATATGTTAAATCAGGAACCAACACATGCTATTTTTCATAACAGGAGTTATATAAATTACAAGCTCTTCCATGTTTTTATTAGATTTGGTACACTTAAAAATAAGCTGTATTCTCCATCCAGAGTACTCTAAATATGACAGTTATTACATCTTTTAGAACTTATAATTCATCCTAATGCTCTATCTTTACAAAACACACACACACACACACACACACACACACACAAAGATTTGCATTTCCTACTTACTATCTTGGACAGTAAAACTATATTTGTTCTATGTTTAAATCCATGGGTTCTGCTCTGTGAGGTTTCAAAAAGAAGCAACTTTATTATATTTTCCTTTGGTTGTTACTAATGATTTTAGCTTAAAGATCATTAATTTTAACACTAACATCCTGCTTTTTCTCATTTGAGTTGCTCTATTTATCTCAAAGGTAGACTTTATGTATTACCATTACAAAAAAATAACTATTTGCATAATACTTTATGATTTTACATCTATTACAAACACATCACAGGGAGCCTGAGGATTCATTCAGCAGCCTGTCATTCACCACTGCAAGACCCTTCAGAACCAAACAAGAGGGAGGATGACATTTTACTAATGGCAAAAGTACAGAAACGAATGTAAATAACAAACCTTGAAGTTTTAAAAATACAAAAGAAAAAAAGAAAACAAGCAAAAAGAGGATGATCCATGAGCACAAACAAAACAGTTTCAATTTGTAAAACTCCATGTCCTCTATATATACAGCAAGGTGTTTGGCAATTTATGTATTTCTATTATGGTAACCATTTAAATTATTTAAAACTATGCTACAAAAATAAAGGAAATTACCATTTTTTCCTGGGTTGTATAAATTAATATTATAATAATATTAAAATTGACTATTCCTATTTATAGAATTCAGCTTTTCCTCAGCCTTGTGAAACAATCTGATATCAATTCTCTGTTACTCTAGCCTCAGCCCTACAAATATTCACATTAAGAATGCTTAAGACGCAGATAATGACATAATGTATTTAGAAATTGTGTTGTTTCATAATTTTTTGGTAAAAGAATCATAAAAAAATTTTAAGCTTCCCTATTTTCTCCTATAATCATCACTCCAGATGAAATGCATGAAATACTGAATGCTCAGTTATGTCACCTTTAGTCCAAATGCCCACAGCACTTGCGGTTTTTCATAAACAATATGCCTTTATACTATATACCTACCCCTTGAGCCATCAACTACTTAATGTTTTAAAATGTAGTTTCAAACGCAGTTCTAACACCCTCTTGCGTGCACACACACACCCCCACATACACTGAAGTGTGCAGAAAAAGGAGGAGGTGGAAAGCAGAGGAAGAAATGGAGCACGTTGTTGTTTTTCATTCATGCAGTATAGTGATGTCAGTGTCTGCAGCAGCAGTGGCAGCGGCAGGAGCCTTGACCAGTGGAGGCTAAAATCCACTCAAGTCAGAACCTTACAGCATTCAAAAGAAAGTGAGAAGACAATCATTCTAAAAATTAAATCAACTGTTCAGATCATGGATTTTAAATGGCTAAGGAAACAGATTAGTAGGACAGTTTTAATTTGGGTAGCGGGGGTAAAAGGCGGGACATGGAGAAGTAACATAGGAGTAATATAATCACAGAACTGGGGGTACAGAAGCCCGCATTCAAAAATCACTTCAATGTAAAAAGCTGACAAAACCACCTGGTGTTTAAAACAGTAGAAAAACATCTCTAGCAAAGAAAGCCCTTGCATTCCCAACACAAGCTCTCTTGACACTGCAAATCTCTCTGCTGCACAACCAGACTCAGAAAAGTGTTTTCATCATGATTGCATTAAAATCGCATTAAACTCGGATGTGCCATACTACAACAAAGAGAATAGTTTAAGCCAGATCACAAATTTCATTAAAACTGCTTGATGATGGAGCATGTAATTCCTAAGCAATTAAGCCTTTTGAAGGATGCAGAAAAACAAGTTGTACTATTATCTGTTGTAAGATGTTAGTGTTTATATACAAAAGGGGAGAAGGGTACTAGATGACCATTATGTTGTTGCAGCAATTGCTGAAACTTCTCTTACTCACATCCACAAGACCCACAATCTGCAATGCTTATTTTATGCCTCTTAGTACCTACAAGAAAATCCCAAAACTCAATTTGTGCACTGTTGAAGCAAAATCACTAAAAAATTTATGTAACTGTTTTCTGTTCATTCTCTTATTTCTCATTTCATACAGTTGTAGAAAATGTGCAAGAGTTGCATATGGCATTAATCTGTTAGAAAATGGTGGTCTTTTCTATAAAATACAGCCAAAGATGTGTGTTCAGTTGTGGTCATTATTAGGGCGATCACGTTGTTTTCATTCATTCATTCAGGATTTGCTGGAGGATGTCAGTTTCTGCAGCAGCTGGCTTGACCTGGGGGAGGAGTGGAGGAGCATATTCCTCCCAGTGCATACAGATTACAGGATGTATTTCTTGGTGCTCATGTACTCATCCCACTGCACTACATCCTACACTGGTTCAACATCAAGTGGTCAGAAAACAAGTGCGTTAGCAACATGCTAATTACAGGTCTGAAATATTAAAACAAAAACACCAAGACTGCAATGTATCATAACGCAGACAACCACTTTCTCCAACTCTAACACCTTCAAGAAAACTCCATTAAAAAAACAAAAATTCCACATACCACATAAACAATGTACAGACTTTGACAGTGTTTCCCTTCCAAGCAGAGATTTTTCCACCCAGCATGATCTGTTCCCTCCACAATGCAGCAGCAGCATCTGTAGCTCTAGGCTGGTATCTAATAATATTAGCTATTCCACTCTCCCTTATGAGCTTTAAGTCTCTGTTTTGGCTAATCTTCCTTTTCTCCCCCAGGGCTCAACTAGATCATGCACTGTGTCCCTAGACATAAACAAAACCAAAGCAAAACAGAAAACACTAAGGGTAACCCACAGCATCCACCAGCTCACCATTACCTTTGACACCTAACAAAAAAGAAACTTGAGATCCTTCAACAGCTCAACTGAACTGTTAAGTGTACTTAAAAATGGAAGGAAAAAGCGAACACGTTCCACAAATAAGTTTTCAGAAATTTACCATGAAAATCTCCAGTTGAGCATAAACTGTTTCCAGTGCAGGAGTGCTCTGATGCATGAATATATAAAGGGGAGGGGGAGAGAGAGAGGGAGAGAGAGAGGGAGAGGGGGGTGGAGGAGGGGAGAGAGGGAGGGAGAGAGAGGGAGGGAGAACTGAGGGAAAAAACCGTATACACTTCAATTGCACATTCAAAACTGTCCCCTCTAGCAGATATCATTACATCCAGCCGATATCCTTACATCATAACTAATGCCACCATCCCTCTAAAAAATAAAAAAAAAATCCCGGTAGTTATAGGCACGTTAGGAACTTTGCAGGAAAGCACAAAGAGACTGTAGAGATTACAACCACCACCTTATCCGCTGCTGAAGAGTTTGTGTGCGTGTTTAAGTGTTTCGCCCAGCTCCTCTTTCCCCGGCTACAAACAGCAAACACACGAATGAGCTAGCCAGCTCTTAAACTGAAAAACCTCTCGAAGCAGGCGAGTGATGGAAGAGAAAATCTGAGGGGCGGCATGAGGGTCAAATAAAAGTTGCTTTTCAGTTCGCTCCTCCAAGCCCCGCAGCGACCGCAGGGGGGTGAGATTCCCAAAGCCACTTTCACACCTTCGATAATGCACTAGCAAAGAGAAGCCCGAAGAGGCTGAAGTTTCCACGGAGGGCACCGTCGGGGAGACGCAGCCCGGGAGGACGGGAGGGTTGGGCTCGCTACCTCTGCACACGGGCGAGCCGGGGCTCCGTCTCTCAGGTGAGCTGCTCCTCCGGTGGCTCTCTGGGGACCGTCTCGGGCGGCCCTTGGCCCGCGGCGCCTGCTCGGCCGGGGCTGCGGCCGGCGGCGGCGTCGGGCTGGACGGGCTGGGGCCGCGGGCCGCGCCGGGCCCCGGAAGGCTGCCCAGCGAGGCGGCAGCAGCGGCGGCGGGCGGGCGCGTGGGACTGTGCTGGCTGCCCCGCAGGAGCTGGTAGGGCACCGTAGCGCGGATGGGCTGCAGCAGCCGGCCGGCTCCCGCAGCCGGGGCGCAGCTCACGCCGCCGCCCGCACCGTTCCCGCTCCCGGCTGCGGCGACGGCGGGCGGGGACCCCGCGGCGCTGCGCCTCATCCTCTGCGGCGGGGGATGAGGGGTCTGAGAGGAACTGGAGGAGGATGAGGAGGCAGTGGACATGGTGGCTCTGCGGGCCCTGGACGCCGCCGGCCGACACGGAGGCGCGGGGCGGGAGGCGCGCGAGCGTGTGGGAGCCGGCGCGATAGTGCGTGCGAGTGTGTAAGGGGGAGGGGCAGGGGTATCGCTGTAGGGGAGGAGTCTCGGGGCTCCCCCTCCCCAACGCACACCCCCGCCGCCTCGGCGAGGGGGGAGGGGAAGGCTCCGAAAACAAACGTCCAACGGCCCCAACCGCCCGGCTGGGCTCGGCGTGGCGGTCACGGCCGGGGCCGCAAGGAGCCCGGAGCCGCCGCCGAAGCCACTGCTCCAGGCATCGCGCTGACAGGGCAACCGCCCGGTTTACGCAGCCCCGAGGGCCACTCGCAGCCTTCTCCTCAGCCCTCGCGGGGCTGTACGCACGGGAGAACCCGTCAGCTGCAGGGAGGGCCGGGACCCCTGCTTCTGGGGACCAGGGTAGAGAGAAAGGGCCTCGAGGTGCTGGCGCTCCTCGGAGTCCGCGCCGCCGCCGCCGCCGCCGCTTCTACCCACTCCTCACTCGAATGGCAACTAATTCGCCCCAGCCGCACCCCGCCCCCGGCACCGCCTCCCAGCGCTCAGGACCCGGCAGCTGCCGCAACGAGCATTTCCATTGGCTTAGGGGCTCCCCACCAGAACTCGAGTGATTGGTTCTGGAATAGGAGTGAGAGAAGGAGTGTCCAATGACAATGGTGTCTCCTACTTTGAAGGTGGGGCGTGAGGGGGTGGCAGCGTGAGGTGGGGGTTGTGCGCGCAGTGGGGAGCGAAAAAGTTGACAGCCTTGAGGTAAGAGCGAGACTAGGAAAGTTGGATTGTGTGTGTCCTGCGCGTGTCCCGACACCCCCAGACACGCAAACGCCGCGCTAGGCAGGTTGCAGGGGCTCCACCCTCCTGGGCCGTCTGTATGACTTGAGACGGGACTCATGAGGCAAACTTTAATTTGCAAGTACACCTGCATCCGGTGGGATGTTTTAGTTAGAACCAGAAAACTGGATCTCTTCCCCTCTAATTTTAGTAAGCTGAGTTTTCGTGACCAGTAGTCTTATTAATCAAAAGAACTTCTGGTGAGCGGGCAAAATGTCTGGAACCTGGATTGAACAAAGTAAAATACTTTTACAGACTAACATTTGTAATTATGCAGTGAAAAGAGATTATCAAATTCTGTGTTCCAAGACAATAACTCTGAATAGCAGGGGTCAACAAGGAATTTTACGTCATTACACCAGCAGCTAGATATATTAATGAAGGGCGCCCCTGCCTTTTCCGAAGCAGATAGCTTCTTGAGAGGAATAAATACCAGATGTAATGTAATAATCCATTGTGGTAAATTTGTTTTTTATTACGCAATGAAACTGAAAGGGTACAAAAATTTTGGATGACTATCAAAAACCTAAATTTATCCCACAGTAAACCAAGGTTTTAAACCTTAATCAGAAGCAATTAATGTAAGGATCTTCATCGGATAACTTTCATTAATTGTCAAGAGGTTAAAAGAGAAGCAGAATGTCAGATTGGTCTACTCGTGCTGTCTGCCCACACTGACAAACTTCCTCTTATTTCAGGCACTATATGCAGGGGTCACTTTCACGTATAGGAGCCATCCTTCTTTGCTTCCTTGTGTGTTCAGACCAGAAAGCATACCGGGTTCAGTAAAAAAAAAAATTGATGAAACTCAATAAAAATACAAAAATTTCATGCAGTACTTCATAGTTCCTCACTTTACCACATATTAGAATAATAGCCAATGTTTATTCACCATGTGCCAGCCGCTATTCTAAGAACATGATGTGTGTTAATTTATTCAGTCCTCATATAATCCACAAGGTAGATACTATTGTTATCCTTACTGTGGTCTCAGTTGTGGCATAAATAAGCTGTCTTGCCTGAGATCACACAGTATATGGGAAGCTAAAAATTTCAAGACTGGCTCAAGAGTCTGAGGAAGCCCTCTGCTATAGTGCCTGGCAGCTCAAAGCTGTGGGGTACATAATTTGTAGAGTATGTATTTACAGTGGCCCACAAATCTCATCTGTGAGGTAAGTTTCCATCAGTTTAAAGGAAATTCTACAAATGAAGACAGACCACTACTTTTTTTTTGTTCTCCAGAATAACATATTTTAATTATGAATAAAAACTTTATACTCTTCCAAATTTTATATAATTGGCCTACCTCATTAATTTAAAAACTGCATTATATTGTGTGTAAAAAGAACGATAAATGATTTCAGTGACTTTTTTAGAATAGCAAGAACAAAAAATCTGACAGATTAAAAATATGTAAAGCTGGCCAGGTGTGGTGACTCATGCCTGTAATCCCAGCACCTTGGGAGGCCAGGGGCAGGGGATCACTTGAGCTCAGGAGTTTGAAACCAGCTTGGGCAACATGGCAAAACCCCACTCTACTAAAAATACAAGAATACTAGCTGGGCGCAGTTAGGGAGGCTGAGGTAGGAGGATCACCTGAGCCCAAAAGGTCAGGAGATCAAAGCTGCAGTGAGTCTTGATCACACCACTGCACTCCAGCTTGGGTGACAGAATGACACCCTGTCTCAAAAAAAAAAAAAAAAAATTAAGGTTTTTATTTTACATGCAGGTAAATTTCTGAGTTGTTGCTTTGATTACAACATAGTTGCGTTATAGAAATGTCATCTCTAGCTACTCCTAAATATATTTATGGAACGACCTCAACATATTAGGTTACAATAATTCTAAATTTATACTCGGTCACAATCACAATGATCAATTGGATCTAATTTGGATCTAAAACAACATATCTAGTCATATTTTAAGGACTTTGTGTTTCTTCAAATCTACCACAGCTGACTTAGACATCTAAAGCAAATCTAAATAATCCACACAGAGAAACAGAATTAGTATGATCTTAAAACACTATTATCAGTTACTGGTAAGTCATTATGACCAATCTAGAAGTTCAGTCATTTCTCTTTGCTATAGAAACCTTAGTTGTCTCTTAAACCTTTATTCTCATGAAGTAAGTACTGATCTTCATATTTAAGGAATATAGGCTTCAAACAAATCAAAGGTGGCCTAAAATAAATTAAACTCAGTGCCTGCTTTCAAATGTCCATTTGTTGGGTTCTTGATAATACTTTATTCTTATTGAGAATGATAGTAAGCTCCAAGGATATATAGAAGCTTTAGGAAAATGTTCTTAGTAAATTGGAAACCCCCTAGAATGAGATGTGGATTGCTAGGCTAGAAGAGCATTGTTATGCTATTATGCTAGCTATGGGGTAGTTAGGCCTAGTGCCAATTTTCCATACTGGTTGAATGTAAGTGTAACAATCTCTGAAAATCCTATGTAAGGCTTAAGGTTAACATTGACCTCTTACTATGTTGTCCTGTGTAAAGACAAAATTGAAGGCACAATTTGGTGGCATGAGAGATACTTCGGTTTCAGTAGCCCCATGCCGTGGCTATCTGTGGGACAAGGATCTACCATTAGCTAATCTGAGGTAGAATCCTGTTATATTTACTTCTTAGTGCAAATATGGTAATAGACTACATTTTAGGTTAAATTAAAACTTGGAATCATTGGTTACATATGATTTATATGCAGCCCCATGTGGAGAGATCATAAGACGAAGAAGCCACAGAGCCCACAGAGCTACCAAAACCCTCCACTTCTAGCTCCATCTGGGTTTGCCTGGCTGAGCATCCAAGGCCCATCCAAATCTGAGAGGCAGTCCAGGCTGTCAGTATTTGCAATGAGGTCATGGCTGGGAGAGAACACTAAACAGATCTGCACTGATGTTCATCTTAAGCTGATTAAACTCTCTTGTAGATTGATTCCTAATAGCAACAACCACAAAAAAGCCTTGACTGAATTTTCGTCCCTGGCAGATGCTTAAATTAAACTCCTCACTGCTTGTGACAGCCTACGTGCACCTTCGCACAAGGTGTTCCCTCTGCCTGAAAGGTTCTTGTCCAGATATCCACACGGCTTGCTGACTCATTTCCATCAGGTCTTTACTCAAATGTCACCACTTTCATGATGAGAGCTTTCCTGAACACTTTTTTAAAAATCGTAAGCTCCCCTAAGCTTTTCCTGCTCTTTATCCTACTCTTTTTCCGGAGTACTTATCAGCATCCAAACCATAATATATTATAATTATTTTTTGCTTTGTCTGTCTAGAATAGAACAGCCTTGAAGACTTTTTATCAGTTTTGTAACTGCTGAATCTCCACAACAGTGTTTAGTATATGGTAGATGATCAATAAATATTTGTTTAATGTTGTTAAGAGTGGCAAATTTTAACCAGCGTTTGTCTTATGAACTAAAACTTGTGCTTTTCCTCAGGGAAAAAAAAAATGTAACAGGTGTATCTCTGCTACAAAAGCACAGTTGCAGAGTAGAAAAATATCTGATGTGGTTACTGTAAACCACACAGATATTTGTATTGAAGCTGCCATTCAAAAAGACAGAATACCTTGTATTATGGTTGTTAGACCTACTGGCTCCTGGAGGCTCATCAGAGGTTGAAAATGGAAAATGGGGGCCAGGTGTAGTCCCAACTACTGGCAAGGCTGAGGCAGAGGACTGCTTGAGCCCAGTGGTTTGAGGTTACAGTGAGCTATGATCACGCCACTGCACTCCAGCCTGGGTGATAGAGTGGGAACCTATCTCCAAGAAAAAGGAAAATAGAATTGGCAATGGAGAAAAGGCAGTTGAAAAAAAGGATAACTGAAATAAACAAACTGAAGAGGATCACTTAAGGAGTGACATCTGCTGATTGGTATTTAGTTCTAGCTCACTATTAAGAAGAGCTATTCTCAAGAGGCCTATGTAAAGGAACTGAAAATAAATGATAATTAAGTAGGCAAGACTATTATATGTAAATAATGAAAACTTTGTTTCTAAAAGAAGTTCAGAAGAAGCAATAGTAATAGATATTTTATTTTTAACTGGCAAGGTCATCAAGAATAAGTGTACAGTTATTTCTCAAAAATAGAAAACAGTAATGAAAACCCCTGGTTTTTCAGTTTTCATCTCCACAGCAGCTCCAATTGCCAACTATGACGCCAGTGGCACCTCCTATGCATCTTAAGCTGCTGCATAATACTCTCACCATTTAACTAAAATGCTATATTGTATAAAGTCAGCACATTCACAGGTAAAACTTGGGGGCCAAAGAACTATAAATATTCTCTTTCTATGCTGTGACATTCTATTTGTTTTAGTCCCAAACAGAGTGTTCATAATACATGAAAGCAATAGTAATCCTATGAAGGGAATATGTTTGATTATCATAATGTTATTTTTTAATGAAAGTTCCAAGTCATTAAAGTATGTCATAAGTGTCTTCCTATGTGGCCAAATCTTATTTTTTGCCACATGAGTAAGTGTGTTGAGGGACTGTTGTTAGGGTGCCATCAATTCATCAGCAGTGCTGGACTAGAGAAGTTTCTTTTTCTTATTTTAAACTTTTTGAAACACAATTTTCAGAGTGCCCTACTCAGCATCTTATTGAAAAGGTCCATATTAATGCCCCTAATAAGCCTAATTGGGGGCTTAGTAGCAACAATACTAGCATCAAGCCATAGCAACTCCTTATCAGGTTACTTATTGAATGTTTGTGAAGTGTCAGACACTGTTTTACACTCTGTTGGGTTTACCTGTTCTCACACTT